AAAAAAAAAAAAAAAAAAAGAAAAGTACAGTCTTTCACTTCATGCTCTTTCATTTTTCACTCCCTCAGGTTAAAGCTGAAGCTCAACAAAGATATAGTGATCTCTGTTGGCATTTATAATCTGGTCCAGAAGGCTCTCAAGCCTCCTCCAATAAAGCTCTATCGGGAAACAAATGAACCAGTGAAAACCAAGACCCGGACATTTAATACAAGTACAGGCGGTTTGCTTCTGCCTAGCGATACCAAGAGGTCGCAGGTAGGTAGAGATGCCTTTTGTTGTTGTTTTTTAGACAGGGTTTCGTTGTGTCTCCCAGGCTGGAGTGCCGTGGGGCGAACACGACTCAGTACAGCCTTGTGCTCCTGGACTCAAGTGATCCACCTGTCTCAGCCCACCAAGTAGCTGGGATGACACCACACCCAGCAAATTTATTTTTTATTATTTTTTAAGAGACGGGTCAGCCAAGCACAGTGGCTCATGCTTATAATTCCAGCACTTTGTGAGGTTGAAGCGGGAGGATCATCTGAGGTCAGGAGTTTGAGATCAGCCTGACCAACATGGAAAAACCCCATCTCTGCTAAAAGTATAAAATTAGCTGTACGTGGTGGTGCATGGCTGTAATTCCAGCTAGTCAGGAGGCTAAGGCAGGAAAATTGCTTGAACCCGGGAGGCAAAGGTTGCGGTGAGCCGAGATCACACCACTGCACTCCAGCCTGGGCAACAAGAGCAAAACTTTGTCTTTAAAAAAAAAAAAAACTGGCCAGGGGCGGTGGCTCACGCCTTTAATTCTAACACTTTGGGAGGCCATGGTGGGTGGATCACCTGAGGTCAGGAGTTTGGCCTCACCAACATAGTAAAACCCTGTCTGTACTAAAAATATAAAAATTATCTGGGCATGGTGGCGGGTGCCTGTAACCCCAGCTACTTAGAAGGCTGAGGCAGGACAATTGATTGAACCCAGGAGGCGAAGGTTGCAGTAAGCTGACATCAAGCCATTGCACTCCAGCCTGGGCAATAGAGTGAGGCCCTGTCTCAAACAAAAAACAAGAAAAAGTCATTTTGCATCTTCATGTAGTCTTCCCATGTGATCCTTCTTGTTCTTCAGATCTATGGGAGTCGTCAGATTATACTGGAGAAAGAGGAAACAGAAGAGCTAAAACGATTTGATGATCCAGGTTTGATGCTCATGGGCTTCAAGCCCTTGGTAATGTTGAAGAAGCACCATTACCTGAGACCCTCCCTGTTCGTGTACCCAGAGGAGTCTCTGGTGATTGGTAAGTGGCGTGGATCACAGATGAGTGACTCTAACATACAACGCAGTTTATGGAGCAGCATTTTGTAAATGGGCACTGCTTGGACACTACGGGAGATGTTAATGGAGTATGTTGAAAGTGTTTAAAGCTCTGCTGGGTATAGTGTCCCACGCCTGTAATCCTAGCACTTTGGGAGGCCAAGGCGGGTGGATCTAGGAGTTCAGGACCAGGCTGGTCAACATGATGAAACCCTTGTCTCCACTAAAAATACAAAATGTAGCCAGGCCCGGTGGCTTACGCCTGTAATCCCAACTACCTGGGAGGCTGAGGTACAAGAATTGCTGGAACCTGGGAGACAGAGGTTGCAGTGAGCTGAGATCATGCCACTGCACTCCAGCCTGGGCAATAGAGTGAGACTCCGTCTCAAAAAGGGGGAAAAAAAAAAAAGTGTTTCAGCTGGGCGTGGTGGCTCCTGCTTGTAATCCCAGCACTTTGGGAGGCCAAGGTGGGTGGATCACAAGGTCAGGAGTTAAAGACCAGCCCGGCCAAGATGGTGAAACTCCATCTCTACTAAAAATACAAAAAAATTAGCCAGGCATGGTGTCGGGTGCCTGTAATCCCAGGTACTCAGGAGATTGAGACAGATAATTGCTTGAACCCAGGAGGCAGAGGTTGCAGTGAGCCGAGATTGTGCCACCGCATGATCTATAAGCGTGAGCCACCTCACCTGGCCAGTAATTCACTTTCTTAAGTTGAGTGTTTGGAGATTCTAAACCTCTTACTCCTTTTTAAAATTTTCCTTTCTATGTCTCTCCTGCCCCCATTTTCCCCTCAGCTCTGGGTCCCTCAACTTGTACCTCTCGAGATATTATAAGCCCTTTAAAGGCTTGGCATGTTGGCTCATGCCTACAATCCCAACATTTTGGGAGGCTGAGGCTGGAGGATCAGTTGAGCCCAGGAGTTGAAAACCAGGGTGGGCAATTTAGAGACCTTGTCTCTACAAAAAAATCTTAAAAAACTAGCTGGGTGTGGTGGTGCATTCACTGTGGTCCCAGCTACTCGGGAAGCAGAGGTGGGAAGATTGCTTGAGCCTGGGCGGTCAAGACTGCAGTTTTATGATTGCAGCACGCACTCCAGCCTGGGTGACAGAGCGAGACTCTGTCTCAAATAAGTAAATAATAAAATTAAAGTAAGCCCTTTAAGGAAAGTGGAAGAGAAACTGTAGGGCTAAAAGGGAAGAAAGGAAGAAACCTTTAGGAGGCTGGTCACTGTGCTATTTGTTTTCTAGGGAGCTCAACCCTGTTCAGTGCTCTGCTCATCAAGTGTCTGGAGAAGGAGGTCGCAGCATTGTGCAGATACACACCCCGGAGGAACATCCCCCCTTATTTTGTGGCTTTGGTTCCACAGGATGAGGAGTTGGATGACCAGAAAATTCAGGTCACTCCTCCAGGTATGTGGCAGAGATATTTCCAGGGCTTCTGAGCCTTGCCTATACTTTGGAATCATCCATGGGCTCCTAATGCAGACCTACTGAATCATAGTCTCTGGGAATGGGGCTTAAAAATGTCTATTTTTAAGGTTTAAAGTCAGATTTAACTTTATCTTATGCTTATTGACTAGAAGCTTGCTTGCTTTTGTTTTGGGCCCATATCTGCTACTTGTTAGCTGGTCAACGTGGGCAAGTAGTTTAACCTTTCTATTTAATATATCTTAGCTACAAATATGAGCGTTTTGGAGCACCTTTCCCTCAGGGTAGTTCTACATTTGAGATGAATTACTGTAGTTTTAACTTTGATCCTCAGCATGCTCAGGAGTGCTTAGTTAATAAGCTGTTGTCTCGGCTTCAAATTCACCCGTTTATGCTCTGCACCACTGAGGCTGAGATGATCCAAGCCTCATTTCTTCTTTCACTGATGGCCCTCAGGCTGTGTCTATAGTGGGTGCTAAAAGGGACACCAAAGGGAAGAGGAGAGGTGAGGGACTTGCTCCTTTCTGTTTGTTCAATGTGGTCAGCATTGCCAGCAGAGCCTTTCACCTGGTAACAGCAGTTAGTTACTGGGCCTAGATTTTTTAGTCCTTCCAGAACCAGTCAGTAACTGAACTAAGATCAGCCTGATAACCCTTACCTGTTTGCTTTTATTTATCATGTGGTAGAGGGTAAAGAAAAAAGGGATGAGGGTGAAGCTCAGAGGAGGGCCCGGTGGAGCTGGGACTTGGCCCTCCAGGGAGGAGGCACTGTCTGGCTGTCTCTGGATGTTTCACAAAAACTGGGAACCAGAAACAACTGCTGCTATGTAAAGGGTCTTTGCTGGGGCAGTACAGACAGGAACAGTAAATACATGAGGGCCCCAAACACAGCTTTGCTTTCTACAGTTTCAGTTACCCATAGTCAACCATGGTCCAAAAATTTTTAATGGAAAGTGAAATAACTTAAAAGCACCATCCCACCTGGGACAGGAATCATCTGTTTGTTCAGCATCTCCACACTGTAAATGCCACCCACCCGTTAGTCACTTAGTAGCCGTCTTTGTTATCAGATTGACTGTCAAGGTCACCAGTATTGCAGTGCTTGTGTTCAAGTCAACCTTATTTAATAAAGGCCCCAAAGCACAAGTGTAGTGGTGCTGGCAATTTGGATACACTAACAAGAAAGTCATAAAGTGCTTCCTTTAAGTGAAAAGGTGAGAGTTCTTGACTTTAAGGAAGAAAAAATACCATATGCCGAGGTGGCTAAGATCTGTGGTAAGAAGGACTCTACAAAACTGTGAAGAAGGAGAAAGAAATTCGTCTTAGTTTTATTTTTTTCTTTTTATACATAAATTGAGATGAGGTCTCACTATGTTACCCAGGCTGGTCTCAAACTCCTGAGCTCAAGTGATCCTCCTGCTTCAACCTCCCAAAGTGCTGCGCTTACTGACTTGAGCCACTATACCCGGCCCAAGCTAGTTTTGCTGTTGCCCCTCAAACTGTAAAAGTCACTGCCACAGTACATGAGAACGGCTTAGTTAAGATAGAAAAGGAGGCCAAGCATGGTAGCTCACACCTATAATCCTAGTACTTTGGGAGGCCGAGGCAGATGGATCACTTGAGCCCAGGAGTTTGAGACCAGCCTGAGCAACATGGTAAAACTCTATCTCTTCAAAAAATATGAAAAATTAGCCAGATGTGGTGGCATGCACCTGTAATCCCAGTTACTTGAGAGGCTACTTGAGCCTGGGAGATAGAGGCTACAGTAAGCTGTGATCACACCACTGCCTTTCAGCCTGGGTGACAGAGCAAGACCCCATCTCAAAAAAAATGGCGAGGTGGCTCACGCCTGTAATCCCAGCACTTTGGGAGGCTGAGGCAGGCAGATCACAAGGTCAGGAGATGGAGACTATCCTGGCTAACACAATGAAACCCCGTCTCTACTAAAAATACAAAAATTAGCCAGGTGTGGTGGCACGTGCCTATAGTCCCAGCTACTCAGGAGGCTGAGGCAGGAGAATCCCTTGAACTTGGGAGGCGGAGGTTGCAGTGAGCTGAGATCACGCCTGGGCCACAGAGCGAGACTGTCTCAAAAAACAAACAAAAGGTGAAGGCTGGGTGTGGTGGCTCATGCCTGTAATCCTAGCACTTTGGGCAGATCACCTGAGGTCAGGACTTTGAGAACAGCCTGGCCAACATGGTGAAACCTGTCTATACTAAAAGTACCAAAATTAGCTGGGCATGGTGATGCGCACCTGTAATCCCAGCTACTCAGGAGAATTGCTTGAACCTAGGAGGTTGCAGCAAGCCAAGCGTGCTCGACTGTACTCCAGCCTAGGTGATGAGTGAAACTCTGTCTCAAAAAAAAGATGAAAAAGACATTAAATATTAAATTTATGAGTGTTAAGACATGGACAGAAATGTGTTTCAGTTGACGGCAGTCAGGCTTGGTGCTATCTGAGGTTTCAGGTATCCTCCAGGGTTCTTGAGACATATCCCCCAGGTATATAAGGGGTCTACTGTATACAGGAAGGGGCACCCGTCCTCCCTTGCAGTCCTCTGGAAACTCCAGAGGGAGTCTGTTAGGCAGATCATAACAAGAAACAGCTGGTGAAGGAGAAATGGTGTCTATAGGGCCCCAGCCCCAGCACCACAAGACATAGAAGGGTGAATTTGGAGCTGAGAAACAAGTGACTGCAACACTTGAAGTCAAATCACAGAAAAGTTATCTCCTTTCTACAGGCTTTCAGCTGGTCTTTTTACCATTTGCTGATGATAAAAGGAAGATGCCCTTTACTGAAAAAATCATGGCAACTCCAGAGCAGGTGGACAAGATGAAGGCTATTGTTGAGAAGCTCCGCTTCACATACAGGTGAGTGAATCTCAGACTTTCTTCTGGAACTGCCTTCTGAGTTGAGAATCTTATTAGATATTCATCTTGGGCATAGACCAAGAGAATGGCACTATTCTTTTCAGCAAACTGACAGATATTAACAGTGTTTGAAAGCCATATACAGAGTGGAAGCTCTTACTGTATTTGAGACTCGGATTGTGTGCTTGATGTGTTGTACTGTACTTGGCCAGATTAGTTGGTCAAACATGTTAAAAAAAAAAAAAAAAGCGGGAAAATTCTTAGTCCAGCTTCTCCTTGATTGTATTTGTTGTTCTACAATGAGCAAGAGTAAATAAATCTAGTGTAAATTGTTACAGGCTTAAAAGAATGATTAAGTAATTCAAGTCATTCTTTCTCATATGTATAATAGACCTGTTCTGAGAGCCTGCATAATGGAACACTAAACATAATTTTTTTTCACATGCCATTTAAAAAATTTTTTTATTTTAATTATATTACTTTGAGATAAGGTCTCTGTCACCCAGGTTGGAGTGCAGTGGTGTCATTGTAGCTCGCTTGCAGCCTTGGCCTCTCTGGGTTCAGGTGATTCTCCCACCTCAGCCTCTGGAGTAGCTGGGACCATAACCTTGCATCACCATACCCAGCTAATTTTTGTATTTTTTGTAGAGACGGGGTTTCACCATGTTGGCCAGGCTGGTCTCAAACTCCTGAGCTCAAGCCATTCACCTGCCTCAGCTTCTCAAAGTGCTGGGTTATGGGCATGAGCCAGCATGAGCCAGCATGCCCAGCCAGGTTTACTTTTTAAGTTGACTTGAGATGAAGTCTTGCTCTGCCATCCAGGCTGGAGTACAGTGGCATGATCATGGCTCACTGCAGCCTCGATCTCCTGGACTCAAGCAGTCTTCCTGCCTAAGCCTCCTGAGTAGCTGGGACCACAGGCATGCATCACCATGCTTGGCTGATTTTTAAATTTTTTGTAGAGACAGGGTTTCAACATGCTGCCCAGGCTGGTCTCAAATTGCTGGACTCAAGCATTCTGCCTACCTTGGCCTACCAAAGTGCTGGGATTATAGGCATGAGCCACTACACCTGACTCAACTGTTTCACTTGGGGTGTTTTTCTCAGCTCACCGTGGACCTCTGATATCACAGGCGGTTTTATTTATTCTTATTTTTTCAACGTTTAAATTGTCATGTTTCAATTGAGTAACATTATTGTTTTAACAGAAGTGACAGCTTTGAGAACCCCGTGCTGCAGCAGCACTTCAGGAACCTGGAGGCCTTGGCCTTGGATTTGATGGAGCCTGAACAAGCAGTGGACCTGACATGTAAGGAGTTTGAGTCGAGTAGTTCTTTTAATGGGAGGCTTTCTTACTGGTTCCATTCTGAACCAGTAATGTGGGTGCATTTCCTAGTACCCTCTAAACACTTAACCTCATTGCCCAGACCCCCTCTGTTTGGGAGCTTTTCTAGACCAGCTTAAACAGCCAGGGAACAGATTTGGCTGGTTTCATAGTGAGAGGAGGAGAGTGCCAGGCTCCTGAAACCTGACTCTGAACTAGGCTACCCTGTGACTACATGCTGGTGAAAATTAAAAATAATATAAGAGGCTGGATGCAGTGGTTCAAGCCTGTAATCCCAACACTTTGGGAGGCCGAGGCGGGTGGATCATGAGGTTAGAAGTTCAAGACCAGCCTGGCTAACATAGTGAAACCCCGTCTCTACTAAAAATACAAAAATTAGCTGACAATGGTGGCGTGCGCCTGTGGTCCCAGCTACTCGGGAGGCTGATGCAGGAGGATTGGTTGAACCCAGGAAGCAGAGGTTGCAGTGAGCCGAGATCCTGCTACTGCACTACAGCCTGTCGACAGAGCAAGACTCTCAAAAAAACAAAAAACAAAAATATAAGTGGAAGTGAGTGGTGGATTTGGGTTTAGAATCCTGTGACTCCTGGCTGGGTGCAGTGGCTCACACCTGTAATCCCAGCACTTTGGGAGGCCAAGGCAGGAGGATCACCTGAGGTCAGGAGTTTAAGACCAGCCTGGCCAAAGTGGGGAAATTCTGTCTCTACTAAAAATACAAAAGCAGTTAGTGGGGCATGGTGGTGCGTGCTTGTAGTCCCAGCTGCTTGGAAGACTGAGGCATGAGAATTGTTTGCACCCAGGAGGCAGAGGTTGCAGTGATCCGAGATCACACCACTGCACTCTAGCCTTGGCAACAGAATGAGACTCTTTAAAAAAAAAAAAAAAAATCATTGACTCCTACCCAGAGCTGAGGCGTAGCTCTGAGCAACTGTCCTTAGGGCCTTTCCATCACATTCTGCTGCTGTGCACTGAGAAAAGCAGCCTTGTTACCCAGCATCAAGGAGCATTGCCTGGCCTCCCAGGGTGAGCTTCTGTGACCTTAATGCTAGTCCCCTTCTTGATTGACTCTCTTACGTATTTCCCAAGAGGACACAGGAAGTTTAGTGATATATGTCCACTGAGGAACAGATTGGATTTATTGAAGATTTTTTTGAGACAGGGTCTCACTGTGTTCCCCAGGCCAGAGTGCAGTGGCGTAATCTCAGCTCACTACATCTGCCTCCTGGGTTCAAGCTATTCTTGAGCCTCCGTTTCCTGAGTAGCTAGTCCACACCCAGCTAAGTTTTGTATTTTTAGTAGAGACGGGGTTTTGCCATGATGGCCTGGCTGGTCTCAGAATGATCTCTTTTATATCAGATAAAATGGACTCAATATTAAAAGCGGAAGAGTTATTGGACCCTTGTTACTGTGGCGCCTGCTTAGCTGTGTCCATGCTTTGAGTTAAACAGCCCATCTCCTCCTTTCAGGCCTTAGGCAAATTTGGAGTCAGTGGCCTTGTGCCTAGCAAGGTAGTTTAGGACACAGGCTTTGGAGGTGACTGATGTCTATTTGAATCTCAGCTCTGCTACTTACTAAATTGAGTGGCTTTGGGAATATTACTTAATCCCTCTGAGATTTGGTTTCCTTTTTGGTAAAATATGGATAATACTGTTCTTACAAGGTGTTAACAAAATATAGGCCCTGGCACTCAGTAAGTGCTCAGAACACAGCCATTCTCCTTAGTCCACAGCTATTCCATTCCTTAGTTCAGCTATTCCAGTTGAACTAGGGTCTCAACTTCTTATATTCTGGCATCTAGCCCTATAATTTCATGGAAAGTCCTGTTTTCTCTTCCTACCTTTATTTTCAAAACAGTTGGTTTGGCTGCCTTAATTTTTTTTTTTTTTTTTTTTTTTTTTTGGAGGGGGGTTCCCTCTTTTGCCCAGGCTGGAGTGTCGTGGTATATCTCAGCTCACTGTAACCTCCGCCCTCCAGGTTCAAGCAGTTCTTCTGCCTCAGCCTCCCGAGTAGCTGGGATTACAAGCGCCTGTCACTGCACCCAGCTAATTTTTGTATTTTTAATAGAGATGGGGCTTCACCATGTTGGCCAGGCTAGTCTCAAGCTCCTGACCTGAAGTGATCCACCCACAATGGCTTTCCAAAGTGCTGGGATTACAGGCATGAGCCACCGCGTCCAGCTTCTTAGTACTTTCAAAACTCTCCAGGTGAGGGCCGGATGTGGTGGCTCATGTCTGTAATCCCACACTTTGGGAGGCTGAGGCGGGCAGATCACGAGGTCAGGAGTTTGAGACCAGCCTGACCAACATGGTGAAACCCTGTCTCTACTAAAAATACAAAAATTAGCTGGGTGTGGTGGCGTGTGCCTGTAATCCCAGCTACTTGGAGCCTGAGGCAGGAGAATCCCTTGATCCTGGGAGGCAGAGGTTGCAGTGAGCTGAGATCATGCCACTGCACTCCAGCCTGAGCAACAGAGCGAGACTCCATCTCAAAAAGAAAAAAAACTCAGCAGTTGATTCCCAAGATGGGAGCCAGTGCTCTTGCTGAGGTTCCTGTGTTGTGGAACAGGGGCTTCTTACGTAGCAGGAGCACAGTTTGGCTCCAGCATTCTGCCATCTTCTAGGTACACCAGCAAGAGCTCCCCTCTGTGATTGGCACATATGGGCATGTTAGCTGCCCATCTCATCACCCTTGCTTTTGATGTGACACAGCTCATGTCAAAAGCTTGACTAACAATACAGTTGTAAGCTAACAAAAAAAGGAAACAAAAATATCTTTCCTCCAAAGTTGCCTTTTCCTGTCATATTTGCTCTTCCTGTTTCAGCCAGTCATCTCCCCATCCGCGCTCCTATTATTCTTTCTTTCTGGTATCTAGCCCTATAATTTCAGTAAATAATAAATGCTATTCTATCAGTAAGTCCTGCTAGTTCTGTCACTTCTCATATTTATAGGTCCTCCCACCTGTGCCCCACTTCACCCATCTCTCTTACCCATGGAGTTCACACTCCATGCAGCTATCATGGTTCTTTGGATAAGGCCTAATTCCTTGGCTGGCATCCAAGCTTCCACGACCTCGCCATGCCCACCTGTCTCACCTCCCTGCTGGCCCTGTCCTCCTTAACACTCTACCTTCCAGCTATATGTCACCTGCTGTTTTCTCCTGCTTATCTTTCATGACCCCTCCTGTGTTCCAGTGTGCCTGTACAGTTGCTTCTTGCATGTTGTTGCCCAACTCTACTGCATCGTTTTTATCTGCCTCTTCACTCTCACTAGGCTTTAAGCTGACCGCAGGCATGAGCTCTTGTTTGAATTCCCAGAATCTAGCTTAGTATTTCCACTGTACCACTCCCCTTCAGGCAAGTCATGTAACCTCTCTCCTTTCCTCACCTGTAAAACTGGGGACAAATCAGGAGGCTGAGGCAGGAGAATCGTTTGAACCAAGGAGTCGGGGGGTTGCAGTGAGCTGAGATCACACCACCGCACTCTAGCAAACAAAAAAACAGAGAAAAAAAAAAAAAAAAAAAAAAAAAAAAAAAAAAAAACTGGGGACAAATGTACCTATCCTATAGGTTGTTAGAAGGAGTAAAGAGAGTAAATTTGAAGCATTTACAACAGTGCCTGGCGGTAGTGTGTGTGATTACAATAAATGTGTGTGTTGGAAGGTACTTGATAAATGCTATAAAGACCTTTCCCTGGACCCCTCCTACCCCAGCAGTTAGGTGCTTTCTCTTCTGGTTCTCAAAAAGTTGGAACTAGATGGCAAGCTGGGGCTCGTGACTCACTAGGCCGCTCGTCTGTGTTTTGATTTTCTAGTGCCCAAGGTTGAAGCAATGAATAAAAGACTGGGTTCCCTGGTGGATGAATTTAAGGAGCTGGTTTACCCACCAGATTACAATCCTGAAGGGAAAGTTACCAAGAGAAAACACGGTGAGGAGCTGAATGTGGATATGTGGTCTATTTTTAACAGTTGCTTTTATGATGGTATTATCACAGTGGGCAGTATTCTTTCAGAAATACCTATTCACACTCCAGTGAGAATGGCTTTTATCCAAAAGACAGGCAATAACAAATGCTGGTGAGGATGTGGAGAAAAGGGAACCCTCATGCACTGTTGGTGGGAATGTAAATTAGTACAGCCACTATTGAGGGGAATAGTTTGGAGTTTCCTCAAAAAGTGAAAGTAGAGCTACCATATATATGATCCAGCAACCCCGCTGCTGGGTATACACCCAGAAGAAAGGAAATCAATGCATCGAAGATATTTGTGCACTCCCATGTTTATTGCAGTACCATTCACAATAGCCAAGATTTGGAAGCAACCTGTGTCCATCAGCAGATGACTAGATAAAGAAAATGGGGTACACATACATAACAGAGTATTCAGCCGTAAAAAAGAATGAGATCCTGTCGTTTGCAATAATACGTTAAGTAAACCAGGCTCAGAAAGACAGACATTTGCATGTTCTCACTTACTTGTGGAATCTAAAAATGGGAACAATTGAACTCATGGAGATAGAGCATAGAAGGATGGTTACCAGAGGCTGAGAAGCATAGTGGAGCATTGAGGGGAGGTGGACATGGTTAATGGGTACAAAAATATTGAATAAGATCTGTTTGATAACAGACTATAGTCAATAATAATTTAATTGTACATTTTAAAATAACTAAAGGAATATAATTTGGAATGTTTGTAGCACAAAAGATAAAAATGCTTGAGGGGACAGATACCTCACTTTTACGCTGATGTGATTATTTTACATTGCATGCCTGTATCAGAATACCTCATGTACCCTGTAAACTGATGGCATTCACAGTACTCATAACTCCCTCCTAGGTGTGATACATGTTCTAGGCTGGCATCACGGCTTTATGGAAAATGGTTAATTGCAGCCCAGATTATATGATGGTCCCATTCCATGTAGCTTGGATGCCACTTGTAGCATTTCCAGTCACTCCCTCTGACCTTTCCCCCAGATAATGAAGGTTCCGGAAGCAAAAGGCCCAAGGTGGAGTATTCAGAAGAAGAGCTGAAGACCCACATCAGCAAGGGCACACTGGGCAAGTTCACTGTGCCCATGCTGAAAGAGGCTTGCCGGGCATATGGGCTGAAGAGTGGGCTGAAGAAGCAGGAGCTGCTGGAAGCCCTCACCAAGCACTTCCAGGACTGACCAGAGGCCGCACACCCAGCCGTCCTTCCACAGTGTGGCCAGGCTGCCTGGCCTTGTTCTCAGCCAGTTAAAATGTGTTTCTCCTGAGCTAGAAAGAGTCTACCCGACAGAAGTCGAGGGACTTTATGTTTTTGAGGCTTTCTGTTGCCATGGTGATGGTGTAGCCCTCCCACTTTGCTGTTCCTTACTTTACTGCCTGAATAAAGAGCCCTAAGTTTGTACTAGATACTGTTCTTTCGTGTGGAGAAAAGTGTGTCTACCTTACTCCAAAAACTCACTGGCCATCACTGTTAGCTTAATTTTCTCTTTCATTGGGAACACTTCACTACAATGGAAACAAAACAAGTGTCAGTGGGGAGAGTGAGAGTGTGACAGGTCAGGGCAGGTGAAGATATTTCAGGAGTAAGAAGCCCTAGCAGGATTATATTATCCTTATCCTCAGTCCTCACCTGTTTTTCTTTAAGTGTGTCAAGGTGTAAAAATCAGATTTCCAAAGCAATAAGAAGTTAACACTTTTAGTTCTGGGACCATTTGCTTCATGAGTAAACAACTCCCTCTCACTGCATTCCTCTTAATGCGACGTTAAATTATGCAAAAATATACCCATTTTCTGTTGCCCTGAGAATTTGAGTTCCAGAATAAGTAAAATGAAGAGTTATTCCCCTTGTGTTTCAGGGGAACTATAGGAAGTTCAAGAAGATGAGAGGTTCTAGTATTTAAAGAAGGGAAAGAGGACAGGAGTATCTTTTCCCTTTTCTTCCTCTATGTCCCTGCTGTCCTCCCTGCCCCTTTCCTGCTCATTCTGCTGCCACTATTTTTGAAGGATTAGCCTGGAGGAAGGCGAGCATCTGGAATTATTGGTCTCTGAAGATGTGAGAGTAAGGGTTTGCAGGTCCTGTGTACTTGAGGATGAATGAGCCGCACCTAATGAAGACTAGGAGAGTCCAAATTACTCTTAAGATTTTCAGCTCTGGATTCTTTGCTCTAAGCTTTATAGGTTTGTGTGTGTGTGTGTGTGTGTGTGTTTTTAACCTCTTTTTGCTTTTGTTTCTCTTTGAAAGGAGATACTGTATTTTTTTTGGATTTCCTTACTTGTCTGGGAAAGAGGGGAAGACAATTCTCCCATTAGATGCTTAGAAATTGTTGAGAAATTGGACCACTCCCCTTAAATGAAGCAAGTTTGGAAACTGGATCTATAGGGATTTAATCTACCAAGGTAGATTGGAATCACACTAGTCAGCCAGTCACTTGGAGCAAGAGGGTAAGGAGTAGCCTCACTGAGCCCTTGGTATCCAACCCTGGATTCGGAAGCTAGTGAAGAGCAGCCCTGGAGTGAGCTCCAGGCTGGATTTGCTGTGCAAAGTACATAGTTACTCCTCAGTAACCATGCCCAACTCTAGGCTCCTTCGCCTCCTGCTTCCAAAATGGAGAGAATGAGAGTTCAGGGGTCAAACACCTACCAGAGCCAGGCAGGTATGTGAATGTTAGACAAATCACCTGAGGTCCGTGATAAACAGCAGCAGAATGAGATACATATTTCTCTAAATGAATGATGCCTTCTTTGCCTGCTGAGTCCCCCCACCCAGGAGAGAAGTACCACGTTCAAATGGAATTGGTTAGGCCTTTGGAAGCTCACGAGGCCGATTTAGCAAATTTACATCTTAGCATCATCATACATACAAGTGACCTTGGGCATTTATGAGGCATTTTTGAGCCTTAGCTTTCATGTTCCTATAATAATGCCACATGGTCAAAATGAGAAAACATGTAAAAGGACATGGACTCAGTAGGTACAGTTGACCCTCTGCATCTGCGGGCTCCACATCCATGTACTCAACCAATGTGGATCAAAAATACTTGGGGAATAAATGGATGGCTGCATGTGTACTGAATATGTACAGACCTTTTTTTTTTTTGAGACCTAGTCTCACTCTTGTTGCCCAGGCTGGAGTTCAGTAGCATGATCTCAGCTCACTGCAAACTCCGCCTCCCAGGTTCAAGCAATTCTCTGCCTCAGCTTCCCGAGTAGCTGGGATTACAGCTGTGTGCCACCATGCCAAACTAATTTTTGTATTTTTAGTAGAGATGGAGGTTTCACCATGTTAGCCAGGCTGGTCTCGGACTCCTGACCTCAGGTGACCCACCCGCCTCGGCCTCCCAAAGTGTTGGGATTACAGCCATCAGCCACCGGGCCCAGCTGACTAATGACAAAATTAACCCTAGCCAGGCGTTCGAGATCAGACCGGCCAACATGGTGAAACCCCGTCTCTGCTAAAAATACAAAATTAGCCAGGTGTGGTGGCGGGAGCCTGTAATCCCAGGTACTGGGGAGGCTGAGGCTGAGAATTGCTTGAACCCGGGAGGCGGAGGTTGCAGTGAGCTGAGATCATTCCATTGCACTCCTGCCTGGGTAACAGAGAGACCCGGTCTCAAAAATAAAAATAAAAAATTAGCCTGTTGTGGGGCGCGCCTGTAAGTCCCAGCTACTCAGAACGCTGAAGCAGGAGAAACGCTTTAACCCGGGAGGCGGAAGTTGCAGTGAGTCAAGATCGTTATCACTGCACTCTAGCCTAGGAGACAGAGTGAGACTCCGTCTCAATCAATCAATCAATCATGCATCTGGGAGGCCGTGCGTAGCTCATATGCAAATACTGTGCCGCGTTACCTCAGGAACATGGGCAGCGTCTCATTTGGGTATCCGCTTGGAGAGCCGTCCGGCCTTGACTTCTACCGCGGCCATTGCGCTTCCATCCGCCAGGTGGCAACATAGCCGGCGCGGAGCGCGGACCTGGACCTGCGCATGCGCGCCACGGACGAGGCGAGCCGAGTTCCTGCGCCTGGGAGCCATTACTGGAAGGGTGTGGCGGCCTAAGCTCGGCTGCACCGGGGTTCCCGTGGCCGCCGCCGCAGCTCTAGAGCACAAATTCGTTTGGCCAAAACTTAAACAAACACACGGATGCACATATGTCTGTTTACCTTTAGGTCAGGTGCAGAGGGAATGTCTGGAATCGCACTCATCGAAAGCTGCAGTTACTTGGGAGGATGAGCATTTTACCTCTCAGCGTGTCCCCTTCTGTAATGTCTTGTTTTAATGTCTTATTAAAAACCAGAAGAGGTGCTTGCTTCGGCAGCACATGTACTAAAATTGGAACGATACAGAGAAGATTAGCATGGCCCCTGGGCAAGGATGACAGGCAAATTAGTGAAGCGTTCCATATCGAAAAACAAAAACAAAAAACCAGAAGAGGCCGGGCGTGGTGGTTCACATCTGTAATTCCAGCACTTTGGGAGGCCGAGGCAGACGGATCACCTGAGGTAAGCAGTTCGAGACTAGCCTGGCCAACATGGCGAAACCCCGTCTCTACTAAAAATACAAAAAAATTAGCCAGGCGTGACGGCGGGCGGCTGTAATCCTCAGGAGGCTGAGGCATGCGAATAGCTTGAACCCGGCTGTCAGAGGTTGCAGTGAGCCGAGATCGCACCGCGGCACTCCAGCCTGGGTGACAGGGCGAAACTCCGAGACTCCATCTCAAAAAGAAAACAAACAAAAAACTGAAGAAAGGCAAGGCAGGACCACAAGCTCTGAGGGAGTTTAGTCATCTACTTTCTATCTCTGCCCATTATCCAGAAATTCCATCCTCATGAGAATCCCTATTAGGAGAGGAGACATACCCCTGTTATACTGTATTCAGCCTTTCTTGTTTGAGCCACACTGGCCCTGACTGTAATGATCCTGCTGCAACATTGTCTG